GAGGGCGAAAGGGATAATTTAGCACATGTGTGTGGTGATGGGTTGTAATTAGTATTTGGGTGGTGAACATGATGTAATCTATGCAGAAATAGAAGTATAACGATGTACACCTGAAATTTATACAATGTTATAAACCAATGTTACCGCAATAAACAAAAAATTTAAAAAATAAATAAATAAAAAAGTGTAAAAACAGAAAAAAATAAAATAGTTAGAAAAAAAAGAAAAATAGGTTAAGGATTCTTAAAATAAAAACTACAAATGACCAATTAATATTAGTAAAATGTACAACCTTTCCTGTAATGATGTAAGTGCAATTTAAAAAAAGATACTATTTCTAGCTTATTAAATTGGCAAATATGTTAAAGATTATAATATTCAATGCTGGATTGAGATTGAGAATTTATATCCAATGCTACTTGAGAGTACCTGAGTGTAAATCAGTGAAACCTTTCTGGAGAAAAAAATTGCAAAACATATCAAAAATTCTATAAAGTGTAAACCCTTTGGCCCACTAATCACTCTTCTATGAATTTATCCTCATCAAATAATAAAACAAGTTCATAAAGACATATATAAAAGATGTTCACTGTAACATCTTTAACAATAGTGAGGGAAAAAATCTGAAAACAAATGTCCAAAATTGCAAAATTCGTTAAATAGACTATCGTATATTCATACAATGAAATACTATGCAACCATTGAGAATTATGATGTATTTCCATATTTATTAACATGGTAGTGTGTTTATAATATAGTGCTAAGTGAAAATAAACAGGTTACATAACAGTGCGTAAAGTATGACATCTTTTAAAAAACATAAATTTCTACACACATATTTGGTTGGGGAAAGTCTAGAAGTATACAGACCAAAATGTTAATAGTAATTTCTTCTGGATTGTGGAAGTTGGGAAAATCTTAACTTCTCCTTTTTGTTTATCATGTATTTTCTACTTTTTCTATAATCATTATGTATTCTTTGTATAATTAAAACTATGAAATAAAAAAAAAGAAATTAAACTGAAAATGTAGTAAACAAATCGGATCCTCAATAAACTCTAGTTCTCTCCAGGTACCAATGAAATAATTTTTTTCCTTCAAGAATAGTTATAGATGTTACATATCATACGATTAGGATTATCTAAATAACAGCAACAATAATTAACATTAACAACATTTGTTGACAGTTTGTTCAAGGCCCTGCGCTAAGAACATTTCCACCACTACCTCATTTAATCCTCCAGCCCCAGAAAATAAATACCGTTAATGTTGTTTTATGGCCCAGTAAACTGAGGCACAGAGATTACGTGACTTGCCCAAGGTTACAGAGCTAATTAGTGACAGAGATGGGTTTTAAACGTAGTCTATGTGATTCCAGAGCCCCTTCTTATAAACACTATACTATACTTGCTTTGAAATTTAGGTCACCACTTTTTTTTTAAGAGCTGTTCATTAGAAATAAGATACCTTAGTTGACCCTGGGAAAGGAAATTGGCTGAATAGGGAAAACAAATAGAAGCAGATTTACTTTTCACAGTAAATTCTCTTACCTTTTAATTTTGTACTAGGTATGCTGGTATTATTTATTACCTAGTTTGAAATGAAATTTAAATTTTAAAATAATTAAAAAGCACTATATAATGTTTTTATTTTCTCCCAATTCAAGGTGAATTTTGGCATTGGCGTATCTTCAAACAACATTAAAACTGCAGCTGCCAATGCCTTGTAGATACCTTAGGATCCACTGTACAAGGAACACATCCCTAACTTGGGTAGACTGGCTATTAAAAGGTGGTGGTAAACATGGTAAATCCTTAGAATTTTTCAAGTTTATCCCTAATTATCATTAAAATTTGGATAAACTAAAAATAATGAAGAGGATTATCCTAGGGGGGCTTTCAGTTCTAACAATCTATAAATTTTAATTTTTCTGAATTAAAGATATAAAGACAGAGAAATATAGTAACTATCAACCGATAACATTACTTACAAATCCTTTTGGAGTTACATTAAAGTAATTTCCTAAAACTGTATTATAATTTATGTGAATTTCCCAAAAATAAGTCCTTAATCTCTTAACATACATGAACTATATCTGCCAACAATCCATTTAGCTTTGGGTATTTTTTCCTTGCATTTTTGGGGTGTTGAACTTGAGGCAGGACCACCTCAGCAAAAATGGGACTCTTGGAAAAGATATTCTGCAAGTGAGGTGTCAAATTGCCTGAAAAGAGAAAAAAATATGTATATAAGAAAACAGAGAAATTAGTCTAAAATCAAAATAATCAAATTGCTATGTGGTTTGCATAAAATTACTAAAAAGGGAGCGTAACAATTATTTTAATTTTTTTTTTAAGTTGAACAAGAAATTTTCTGAATATAGCATAAAAAATTAAAGTTTCCCTGGTAATCTGTTGATAGTACATAGGCAGTAGAGAATGTAAAACCATCAGATTCATTTTCTTTTCTCCAAACATAAGACATAATATATAATGCTATCAGGAAAAGCACATTCAAACTTTTACATATTTCCATATGGGTATCTACATGGTTTAACTAGCAAGTGTTCATCAACAAATCCTTACTCAAAACAGTAAAATATTAAAATTATTTAGAAATAGAAATAGTGCAAAGAAGAAACAAGGCTATAGAGTAGTAGCAGAATGGAAATAACTATAAATAGGAGGGGAGAGAGCTAAGTTCTAGACAAGTTTTGCTATAACTAGTTCTGTGACCTTGAGCAAATCTCTTCCTTTTCTATGCCTCAGTTTCCTCATCTGTAAAATGACAGAATTGATCCTATCATCTCTAAGGTTCCTTATAACATTAATCTTATAGCCAGAACTTTAAAGATAACACAAAAAAATGTAATGCTTTAAGGCTCTAAACTGTATCTATAATGAATACTTATCCAGATTTCATGGTTTTCTTTTTTTTTTTTTAATTTTATTTATTTTTTTCCCCAAAGCCCCAGTAGATAGTTGTATGTCATAGTTGCACAGCCTTCTAGTTGCTGTATGTGGGACGCGGCCTCAGCATGGCCGGAGAAGCAGTGCGTTGGTGCGCGCCCGGGATCCGAACCCGGGCCGCCAGCAGCGGAGCGCGCGCACTTAACCGCTAAGCCACGGGGCCGGCCCAAGATTTCATGGTTTTCATAGTTGTTCACAGTACCTTCTTCATGAACCTGTAATTACATGTTTATGTATAGCATCCCCACCACAAAAAGGGCTCCTCAAGCTCCACATTCAGAAATATATTCTTAAAAAAAACAAATCATTAAAATTCCATGAGCAAGGCTAGCCATCAAAATGTTTTAGTCAAAGCAGATCATCAAATAATTCAGCTCTCATCAAATATTTTTTGAATATGTTATTTACTATCTGGTTATCTACTGTCGTTTAAAAAAAAAAGTCTTCTCAGTAAATAATTGATTTTCTTTTTTCTTTTTTGTGAGGAGATCAGCCCTGTGCTAACATCTGCCAATCCTCCTCTTTTTTTTGCTGAGGAAGACTGGCCCTGAGCTAACACCCATGCCCATCTTCCTCCACTTTATATGGGATGCTGCCACAGCATGGCTTGCCAAGCAGTGCGTTGGTGTGCACCCGGGATCTGAACCGGCGAACCCCGGGCCGCCACAGTGGAGGGCGCGCACTTAACCGCTTGCACCACCGGGCCGGCCCCATAATTGATTTTCTATCTCCAAATGCTTTAAAAAAGCATTTAAATCAATTCTATTATTTAAAAGTCCTCTTTGAGACATGCAAATATTTGTAGAAGCCAAAATTTTAAAACTTTCAAACAAATTAAAGTACCTTCCTATTGTACTATTCTTCTTAGTATCAACCATCAACATATGGCTTAGCTATTTGCATTCTGACAGAGAAAATATTATTTTCAAAAACAGTGGAGAATTTTCTACTTTCTTTATCAGCTCAAGGCATCCATCTGCTGCCACCTAGCAAAACAATATGCTTCCCTGTTCTTATAAAGAAAAAACTAAATTTGAAAATCAAGCAGAATGGATCTGGCAATATTTATTTTAGGCATTTGACAATATATTTCAGTAATACCTACCTACTTTTAAAACAATTTTATGAAGTAGATCCAAATCAGAGCTGCTAGGAAGATAGGGATTTCCAGTGGCCATCTCAATGATCATACAGCCCAAAGCCCAGATATCCACAGGTCTGAAACAGACAAGAATAAGTCACTTTTTCATGGGGAAATATATAAAATATCTTTTCTAAAAAAACTTTTAAAATAAAGTTAAGGCCAAAGAAGAAAGAATGGTTAAGTGGTATCATTTATAAATTTTTACTGTAATGTCATATGCCAACTTTAGGACAAATATTAAATATTATTACATTTTATGAATAACATTAAATAGCTTACACTTAAATTCTATGATAACAACTATTGGGTCAATGAAGAAATCAAAAAATACCTGGAGATAAATGAAAATGAAAATACTACATACCAAAATTTATGGAATATAGCATAGGCAGTGTAAGAGGGAAGTTTATAGCACTACAGGCCTACCTCAAAAAACAAGAAAAATCTCAAATAAACAATCTAACAACATACCTAAAGGAACTAGAAAAAGAACAAATGAAGGCCAAAATTAGTAGAAGGAAGGAAATAATAAAAATCAGAGCAGAAATAAATGAAATAGAGACAAAAAAGACAATAGAAAGGATCAATGAAACTAAGAGCTGGTTCTTTGAAAAGATAAACAGAATTGACAAACCCTTAGCTAGACTCTCCAAGACAAAAAGAGAGAAGCCTCAAATAAATAAAATCAGAAATGAAAGAGGAGAAATTACAACAGACACCACAGAAATACAAAGGATTATAAGAGAATACTATGAAAAGCTATATACCAACAAACTGGATAATCTAGAAGAAATGGATAAATTCTTAGAATCATACAACCTCCCAAAACTGAATCAAAAAGAAACAAAAAACCTGAATAGCCCAATCACTAGTAAGATCAAAACAGTAACCAAAAACCTCCCAAAAAATAAAAAGTCCAGGACCAGACAGCTTCCCTGGTGAATTCTACCAAACATTCAAAGAAGATTTAACACCTATCCTTCTCAAACTCTTCCAAAAAACTGAAGAGGAGGGGATGCTTCCTAAATCATTCTATGAGGCCAATATTACCCTGATAGCAAAACCAGAAAAGGACAACACAGAAAAAGAAAATTACAGGCCAATATCACTAATGAATAGAGATAGAAAAATCCTCAACAAAATATTAGCACATCAAATGCAACAATACGTTAAAAGGATCACATACCATGATCAAGTGGGATTTATTCCAGGGATGCAGGGATGGTTGAACATCCACAAATCAATCAATATGATACACCACATTAACAAAATTAGGAATAAAACTCACATGATCATCTCAATAGGCGCAGAGAAAGTATTCAACAAGATACAGCATCCATTTATGATAAAAGCTCTCAATAAAATGGGTATAGAAAGTACTTCAACATAATAAAGCCTATATATGACAAACCCACAGCTAACATCATACTCACCAGTGAAAAACTGAAAACTATCTCTCTAAAAACTGAAAACTACCTCTCTTTATCATCTCTAAGGATGCCCACTTTCACCACTCTTATTTAACATAGTATTGAAAATCCTAGCCAGAGCAATTAGGCAAGAAAAAGAAGTAAAAGGGATACAAATTGGAAAGGAAGAAGTAAAACTGTCACTATTTGCAGATAACATGATTTTTTATACAGAAAACCCTAAAGAATCTACCAAAAAACTTTGAAATAATAAATGAATACAGTAAAGCTGCAATGTACAAAATCAACATACAAAAATCAGTTGCATTTCTATACACTAACAACGAAATAGCAGGAAGAGAAATTAAAAATACAATCTCATTCACAATCGCAACAAAAAGAATAAAATACCTAGGAATAAATTTAACCAAAGAGGCGAAAGGCCTGTATACTGAAAACTATAAAATATTGTTGAAAGAAATCAAGGAAGACACAAAGAAACAGAAAGATATTCCGTGCTCATGGATTGGAAGAATTAACATAGTTAAAATGTCCTTACTTCCTAAAGCAATCAACAGATTCAATGCAATCCCTATCAAAGTCCCAATGACATTTTTCATAGAAACAGAACAAAGAATCCTAAAATTTATACGGAACAACAAAAGACTCTGAATAGCCAAAGCAATTCTGAGAAAAAGAAGAAAGCTGGAGGTATCACACTCCCTGATTTCAAAATATACTACAAAGCTATAGTAATCAAAACAGCATGGTACTGGCACAAAAACAGACATATAGATCAGTGGAACAGAATCAAGATCCCAGAAATAAACCTGCACATCTATGGACAGCTAATTTTTTTTCTTTTTTGAGGAAGATCAGCCCTGAGCTAACATCCAATGCCAATCCTCCTCTTTTTGCCAAGGAAGATTGGCCCTGGGCTAACATCCGTGCCCATCTTCCTCTACTTTATATGGGATGCTGCCACAGCATGGCTTGTCAAGTGGTGCATCAGTGCACGACCAGGATCCGAACCTGTGAACCCCGGGCTGCCGAAGTGGAGTGTGTGCACTTAACTGCCAGGCTACCACGCCAGCCCCTGGACAGCTAACTTTTGACAAGGGAGCCAAGAACTTACAGTGGAGAAAAGAAAATCTCTTCAATAAAGGGTATTGGGAAAACTGGACAACTTCATGCAAAAGAATGAAAGTAGACCATTATCTTACACTGTACACAAAAATTAACTCAAAATGGATAAAGACTTGAATGTAAGACCTGAAATCATAAAACTCCTAGAAGAAAACACAGGCAGTGCACTGTTTGACATTAGTCTTAGCTGTATCTTTTTGAATACGATGTCTCCCCAAGCAAGGGAAACAAAATTAAAAATAAACAAATGGGACTATATCAAACTAAAAAGCTTCTGCACAGCAAAGTAAACCATCAACAAAACAAAAAGACAACCTAATAATTGGGAAAAGATATTTACAAATCATATATCTGATAAAAGGTTAATATCCAAAATATATAAAGAATTTAGACAACTCAACAACAAAAAAACAACCAAATTAAAAAATGGGCAAAGTATCTGAACAGACATTTTTCCAAAGAAGATATACAGATGGCCAACAGGCACATGAAAAGATGTCCAACATCACTAACTATCAGGGAAATGCAAATCAAAACTACAATAAGATACCACCTCACGCCCATGAGAATGGCTATAATTAATAAGACAAGAAATAACAAGTGTTGGAGAGGATGTGGAGAGAAGGAAACTCTCATACACTGCTGGTGGGAATGCAAATTGGTACAGCTACTATGGAAAACAGTATGGCTATTCCTCAAACAATTAAGAATAGAACTACCACATGATCCAGCTATTCCACTGCTGGGTATTTATCCCAAGAACACGAAAACATGAATGCGTAAAGATATATGCACCCCTATGTTCACTGTAGCATTATTTACAATAGCCAAGACTCAGAAGCAACCTAAGTGCCCATCAAGGGATGAATGGATAAAGAAAATGTGGTGTATACATACACAATGGAATACTACTCAGCTACAAAAAAAGACAAAATCTTACTTTTTGTGACAACATGGATGGACCTTGAGGGTATTCTGCTAAGTGAAATAAGTCAGACAGAGAAAGTCAAACACCTTATGATTGCACTCACAAATAGAAGATAAAAACAACAACAAACAAACACATTGATACAGAGATTATATTGGTGGTTACCAGAGGGGAAGCGGGGCTGGGGGGGAGGAGGAGGGCAAAAGCGGTGACTGGGCACCCGTGTATGGTGATGGATGGTAATTAGTCTTTGGGTGGTGAACATGATGTAGTCTGTACAGAAACCAAAATATAATGATGTACACCTGAAATTTATATAATGTTATAAACCAATGTTACCTCAATATAATAAAATACAAAGTTTACATAGAAAGGCAGTAGACCCAGAATAGCCAACACAATGTTGAAGAAGAACAAAGTCAGTGGAAAGATATCGTCTGATTTCAAGACATACTATAAAGCTACAGTAATCAAGACAGTGTGGTATTGGTGAAAGAACAGATAAATAGATCAAGAGGATAGAATAGAGAGTCCAGAAATAGACTCAAACAAATATACTCCACTGATCTTGGACAAAGGAGCAAAAATAATTTAGTAGACAGAGGAAAGTCTTTTTAACAAGTGATACTGGAACAACTGGACATCCATATGCAAAAAAAAAAATGAACCTAGATATAGACCTTACACCTTTTACAAAAATTAATTCAAAATGGATCACAGACATAAATGTAACATGCAAAACTATAGAACTTGCAGACAATAATATAGGAGAAAATCTAGATGATCTTGGGTTTGGTCATGAATTTTTAGATACAACACCAAAAGCATAATCCACAAAAGAAAAAATATAAGTGGTACAGCATTAAAATTAAAAACTTCTGCTCTGTGAAAGACACTGTTAAAAGAATGAAAAGAGAAGCCACAGAGTTGGAGAAAATATTTGCAAAACATGTATCTGATAAATGACTTGTGTTCAAAATATACAAAGCATTCTTAAAACTCAACAATAAGAAAAGAAACAAACAATCAAATTAAAAATTGGGCAAAATATCTGAACAGACACCCCACCAAAGAAGATATACAGATGGCAAATAAGCATATGAAAAGATGCTCAACACCGTATGTCATCGGGGAATATAAATTTAAAAAATAATAAGATAGATACCACCACACACCTATTAGAATGGCTAAAATCCAAAACGCTGACAACACCAAATGCTGATGAGGATGTAGAGCAACAGGAACTCTCATTCATTGCTGGTGGGAATGCAGAATGGTACAGCCACTTTGGAAGATAGCTGAACAGCTTCTAACAAAGCTAAACATAGGTTTACCATACAATTCGGCAATAACTGCACTCCTTGGTATTTAGCCAAATGAGCTGAAAAACTTATGTCCACAAAAATACCTGCACATGAATGTTTACAGCATTATTCATAATTGGCAAAACTTGGAAGTAAGAAAGCTGTGCTCTATTAGGTGAATGGATAAACAAACCGGCATACATATATACAATGGAACATTATTTAGTGATAAAAAGAAATGAGCTTTGAGTCATTAAAAAAAGTGGAGGTACCTTAAATACCCATTG